CTTACTGCTTATTTCTTACTACTACTCCTACTGCCATTGTAGAAGACGCTTTAGGGCCGTGGCACACAGAAAAACTTAAACAGTAAGCAAATTGACCAATTACAGTCGTTGATTCTTGGACTGTAAAGCTGTCCACACACACTTTTCGTAACAGTAACCGTAATGGCTCCTGCACACAGGATACGGTAATGCTTGCCGCACGGCGGAAGTTCGCGCGATAGCCAATCAATATATTGTTTTTCCGTAAGAGCTAGAAGATTATTACGAAAAGCAGCATATTGATTGGTTGTCGCGCGAACTTCTGCCGCGCGGCAAGCATTACCGCGTCCTGTGTGCAGGAGCCATAAGACGTAATCTAATAGCGAATTCGGTAGCTTACACTAGTGCGCACTGAGTGCGCATTAAGGCTTGTTTACAGTACATTCTTATATTTAAGATCGTGTCTTAAATACATATTTAAAAACATTTTAACTAATAAAATGATTCGTGCGGATGTTATACATATCATATTATGGTTAAAAATATTTGAGAATTTATTTGAGAATTATTTAAGACAATCTTTAAATATAATAACATACTATGAACAAGCCTTAGTGCGCACTCAGTGCACACTAGTGCAAGCAACCGAATTCGCTATAAGAATTGAGCAATTACGATCGAGTTTTCATAAACATGGCGACCTTACGTTTCGATGATTCTCAACATGATTGATCAATTCTTATGTTACGTCTTATGGTTTCTGCGCACAAAACGCGGTAATGCTTGCCGCGCAGCGGAAGTTTGCGCGACAGCTAATCAATATGTTGCTTTCCATAATAACCTTCTAGCTCTTACGGAAAAATAACACATTGATTGGCTGTCGCGCGGACTTCCACCACACGGCAAGAATTACCGCGTCCCGTGTGCAGGAACCATTAAGGCTAAATCACCCTAGCGATTGGCGATTGATGATTGACGATTGAAGATTGGAACTTGACCAATTGGAACAAAGCAAGCTAAGGTTGAAGCTCGTTGATTCGTCAAAATCAAATCTTCAATCGTTAATCATCAATCGTCAATTGCTAGTGTGATTTGGCCTTTACGATTACTGTTACGAAAAGTGTGTGTGGCCAGCTTAAAGCTGGTGGCACATAGAAAAACTTAAGCAGTAAGGCGTAAGCAATAAGCAAATTGACCAATCACAGTTATTAATTTTTCTTACGGTCCAAGAATTAACGACTGTGATTGGACAATTTGCTTACTGCTTACGTCTTACTGCTTATGGGTGCTTTCCACTGTGTTACACAAAACCAGTTTATTGGTTGCATATTATCTTACAAGATATTTTAGATAATATGTGACCAATAAACTGGTTTTGTGTACGTGTGTGTCAAGATGTGTTAAGCAATTGGAAAGCACTCTATGTTTTTCTATGTGCCACCAGCTTAAGAAGAATCAATGACTGTGATTGGTCAATTTGCTTGCTGCTTACATTTTATTGCTTAAGTTTTTTTGTGTGCCACTAGCCTAAACGATTTGTTATTTAGTCTCATTGTTTACATGTTTTATATTTTTTCATTTTTTCACATTCAAAATATTAATAGGTATGTTCCTTTTAGCTGAACTGACTGTAGTTCAAGTAGTGTTATGGTAGGAGGTCCTACATCTAAATGTAAAATATGTCAATTTCTTTTATAATAAAAATAACCCAATTGTATTATTATGCACACACACACACACACACACACACACACACACACACACACACACACACACACACACACACACACACACACACACACACACACACACA